CCAAGTCACTGGAATTACAGGCAGGTGCCACCACGCCTGGCTCATCTGGTTACTTTTTGATTTTGAGGATATTTTGATGAGTGGGGAGTTGTGTCTCCTCAAAACAATTTTCCACATTTGGCTCAGTTTCATTATTACCTTTACCTTATTGATTTGAACACACATATTTATGTTGAAATACCTATTAATTATTTTCTGTCATTTTAATATCTATATAAACTTTTTCTCTAATTTCTCTTTAAGAAATAACCCTCAAATTTGTGTGCTTTTGTACATTCTTGCATAATGGTTATATTTTAAAATTGTCAATCTTGTTTTTTTAAAATTTCTGATGCTGGTGCCATCAGATTCAATTTCTAAAGAAGAGCAAAGCTGAAAACCCTTTCAGCTTCGGAGAGTGCCAGATGTTATCCAGGCAGAATCCAGATACTTTTGTCTGTGTCCTACAACACAATGTAGTGTCACCATGTTCAGCAAAAGTGACATCCCACAGTCCCTCGATGCCAACTTGCTCTAGCAAGCTGCTTCTCATGTGTCTCAGTGTCCGGGCTCTGAGTGTCATATCTGAAAAGCAAGTTAGGATTCTGAGTCAACCACTTCCAATAGTGTGAGAGGAGCTTTTCAGGTGCCGGCTTCTTCATATTTTAGTGGGATCAGGACTAGTGTGAGATCAAACCGTGGGTAGTGGATAGGTGGGCTTAAACCACAGCTGGAGTCAGTAAGTTCCTCAGTAACTAACCTCCCCATGGTTTTGCTCACATTGGGACCTAGCTCTGGGATGCCCTTCTCTTCTTTTCCACCTTGAAATATTTGGGCTCAGCTCTATCCCCATCACAAAGGCTCCCACAAAACTGGCAGCTTAACCATGTGTGTTACTCAAGTTGAGTGTCTTAGGTCATTATTTTAATATTCCAGAAATGTTTAATGAGCCAAGTTATAAGCTTTAGGGAGGCCTGGCCCATTGCTTCACATTTAAATATACTAAGTATTTGTAAAAGGTATAAAAATAAAAGAATCAAAAGATGAATGAGACATAACAGTACTGGTAATAAGACTAACAAATTGCACTTAAGTTAGCCTGATTATTATGCTAAAGACATATGATTGGTTCTGTAAATGTAAGCAATATATCATGCATTATGCCATTTGATATTCCAGCAGTTAAATATTACCATAAGTATACACCAGTATGTTCCTAATAATTCAATACACTTGATTTTTCCAATTTTAAGGAGTATCTAGTCCCACCTTATGACCAAATAGCCATTGGCCAGGTAACAGTGCCCATAAATCTGGCATTGCTTCTGTATTTGTGAACGTGGTGATGACTCTTGCATTGTAAACATTTCTATTGAATTCTATGCAATTTAATCCTACATACATCAAAGGCATATGCCAAAAAATGCCAGTGAAAACACGAGAAATTTCGACATGAGTCACATCAGGTGAAAGAACCCTAAAGCGATGAGAGGCTGAGATAGCCAGCTAATGTGCCTGCAGGACTAATGGTTAAGGCATGGAGCTGCAATTTTTAAAAAATATTTATTTATGTTTTTAGTTGTAGTTGGATACAATACCTTTATCTTATTTATTTTTATGTGGTGCTAGAGATCGAACCCAGGGTTTCACAGGTATTAGGCGAGTGCTCTACTGCTTAGCTACAATCCCAGCCCGGAGCTGCAATTTTTTAGAAACCTCCTCCTGGTCATGGATAGAAAGACTTTGTGGCTTTTGGAAATGCATGATTCAGTTGAATAAGAAAACTACATTTTAATCAATTAGGAAAGTGATGGCATCAGTTTTACGGGATAATTGTCAAAAACTGGAAGAAAATCCCAGAGACAAGCCTGAAATAGCCTTTTAAGAAATGCTGTACTATTGACAATATTGTGTGAACATGCATATGTACACATTTAATTTTCCTTGATAACTTTCAAGGATCAAAGCATGAAAGGTTCAAAAACTAGTAAATGCAAACTCTCTCTTCTGCAGGTTTCCTAGTCACCCAGTTGCCCACAGCTGCCAGTGTGTCTATCTCCCTGCTCTCTCTAATGCTCTACATGGGAAGGGATTCTAAAGGATTAGGCTTGATGTACAGAACTACAATCAGTTTATCTTGCTTGTCTTTTCCTTTTCTATATATGCATGCTACTAAAATATCTATGTCTATGGGTGTGTAGAAGCACTCTTTCAGTAAATATGAAGATCCTGTATGACACCATATAGAGACATAGTTTAATTAGCAGGTCTTTCCCTTCTTTGTGGGACATACCAATGAAAATGTCTGAGGTTTGAGAACCTCTGACAAACTGAATGGAGGTTAAGATAGGCCTTGAGTTGAGTTTCCAAATGTCCCTTAGTGGGGGTACAGAACTTGAATTCTAATACTGTTGCTGTTTCGCTGGGCATTGTGTTGCTGCTCAGGAAGGAGGTAGGCAGACCCTGTGATTTCTTCACAAACATCAGGGACACTTGTTTATAGAACCAACATAATCTGAATAGCAGTCGGTTTCTCACATCACCATTTTAAGCATATAACCCAAGCTGAAAAATGCATTTGCATTAAACACTCCATTTGTCATTAGTTAAGCACTTTTTAAAAATAAACTTACTATATTTTTTCCAACGTAAAACTAATACAATTTGGTTTACAAAATCCTCTATTTAAAAAAGTGTCCATCATCATTATCCAAAATACATGTATGAAGACACAAATTGGTGTGAACATACTTTATATACAACCAGAGATATGAAAAATTGTGTTGTATATGTGTAATAAGAATCATAATACATTCCACTGTCATTTATTCTTAAAAAAATCAACTAAAAATTAAAAAATAAAAATAAAAAAGTGTCCATGTATGAATATCTAACCAGCCACATTTCTTTCAAGAAAAACATTTGGTGAATTTCTTTTAAAAAATTTGTCTTTTTGCCATTTCTTCTAGTTAAAAAAAAAAAGTCTCAGATCAAAGTAATATGTGTTCATTGTGCAGTTTTTGGTTAAGTATGGAGAAGTAGGGATTGCCTGCTAACATTTTTGGGCAGAAACAAGCACCATAACTGTAACTCCATCAGGCTGAATGGGTGATGCTGGGAGAGAACTTGGACACAGGCCCATGGGCCTTGTTAACAGAACTGATTATACAGATCTGAGGTTTACAGCCACTTGTCTTCTCAAGTTTGCCTTGTTGTCCTCACACAGCAGGCCTTTGGCCAGAACACCACCAACTCTATTAATTCGGCAACCAAGCACTGTGGGTGGGTGTCCTTAATTCATTCCTCTTATTCATTCATTCACGTATTCAACAAACCTTCATGAAGCACAGACTGTGTGCCTGTAATACGCAGGGGGCAATAAATGCCACCCTTGCCCTCTCTGTGGATTATAGTGATAAGACAATCATAATCACATAAGTAAATGGATACATTTCTCTAAATCTGGAAAAGGAAGAAAACAGGTGGTTGGGAAGGCAGTGGGGCAGCAGTGTCACCCAAGATCAGGAAGGCCTGCCTTTGCCATGGAGTGCTGAACCACAAGGACAAGAGGAAACAAAAGTGAAGGAGCTGAGGCTGTCAAATTTTAAGTGAATGTGGCCAAAGAAGGAAGAGAAAGAGAGCACGGCAGGCTAGGCTGGAGGTGTAGGCTCCTGCAGGGCCTCTGAACCTATGGTAAGGATTTCAAATTTTATTCTATGTATAATTATTTTATTCTATCTGTGGATTTTGAATTTTATACTGTGTACAGACAGTTGGAAACCAACACTTCTTTGTATTTTAAATTACTTTTAATTTTCCTTGATAACTTTCAAGGATAAAAACATGAAAGGTGCAAAAAGTAGTAAATGCAAACTCTCTCTTCTTCAGGTTTCCTCGCCACCCAGTTACCCTGCCCACAGCTGCCAGTGTGTGTCCCTCCAGAACTACTCTGGGTGTGAACAAGCAAATCAGTCTATGGTCCAAGGAATTTAAAGCAGGGAGCTAAAGAATCAGATTTGTGTTCTATGTCCATCCGAATGCCAAGAGGGGCAGGGCTCTCCCAGAGCTCCGATTTTCAAGATTTTCAAGCTGAGACTCTCATTTCACAAATCCTATTAAGCGGTCAGTTCAAGATTCCTCCGTGGAGACCCTCTGGGAGCGACGCAGGGCTCGGTGAACTGCACCGCGACAGGGCCCCCGCGGGTCCTCATTCTGTGCTCCCTGTCACGACCCGCCCTCCTGCAGGTTGCCTGCCGCTGCCGGCGCCGCTTCTGGCCACCTGCTGGTCGTCCCCAGCCACCGGCTGCACCGCGTTCAGGTGCGCACATTGGCTACCCAGAGGAGGGCGGACGCAGCGCGCGCCCGGAAGACTCAGGCAGAGCCGGGTGGACTCAGAGTGAGTGAGGCGGGGTGGGGCGGGGAGGGGCGGGGCGGTCCGGGGGAGGGGCCAAACTCGGGGGCGGGACCTGCGCCGCGGCGGCAGTGAAGCGCTGGTTGCGGCCGCTGCAGCGCTCGGTCCCTGACTCGGGCCACCCACCGGGAGGTGGTCGCCGCTCGGCCCCGGTCCCGCAAGTGCCCGAAGGCAAGTCCGGGCCGCTTGGACGCTGGGAACCCTCGGCGGGAGCGGACGGCCGGATGGCGGCGGAGGGGAGCGTCCCGCGGAGAGTTTCTCGAGAAGGCTGAACTCACCCCGAGTTGCTCGTTCCTTGGCTCGATCCCGGCGATTGGTGGAGGCGCGTTCCGTGCGGGTGGTCCTTGGGCGCGGGAGGGACGCGGAGGCGACGGGATCCCTCCGCCTGAGCGGCAGCCGGATTTTCCCGGGGGCGCGCGGTGGCGGGCGCCGCTTTCGCCCGGGAAAGGGCGGTGGGCGCTGCGTCCGCAACTCCGCGGGGTCCCCGAGCGCCGGGGCTGGCCCGCCAGCGGGACCTGCTGGCCGCCTGGAGGAAAAACTCCGCAGCTTGTGTCTTCTTGGGCCGGCCCAGCCGGGGGTCGGCCCCCAGGGCTGACCGCGAGGCCCCGCCATGGACGGCGAGAGCGAGGTGGAGCTTTCCAGCAACGGCTTGACCCCTTTGTGGCGGAGGCGCTCGACCCCTCCGCCCCAGCTGCTGGCCCGCAGCAAGCCGAGGCCCCAGTCCTACCAGAGCCCCAGCGGGCTTCTGATCACCGACTTCCCGCTGGAGGAACGCATGGCGCCCCCCGTCCCGGCCGGCGGGACGGCGCCCCGGAGCCCGCTGCAGCCGTGCACCCACGGGAAGGCGCGGACGGTCTCCTCGGAGCTCAGAGCCGCCTCTCCTCGACTCCTCCGACCAGAGTCTCCCCAGGTCCCCAAATTGGCGGCGGGCGGCTACCCGAAACCCGCAGCAAATGGCGTGGCTGCCTCTCCCGCGCCACAGCCGCGCACGTCTAGCGCCCCCGGCCCCGGCCCCGAGCGGAGCCCCGCAGGCTGGAGCGCCCGCGTAGTGCCCTCTCCCACTTCCAATGGCCATGTGCCCAAGCACAACTCTCCTGGCTCCGGCTCGCAGTCCAGTCCGCCAGTTAAGGACCCCGACCGGGGGCCCTCGAAACTCTCTCCTGCGCCCCAGAAAAGGTCCTCAGAACAAAAACTCCCTCTCCAAAGGCTGCCTTCCCAGGAGAACGAGCTCCCCGAGAACCCCTCGGTGGTCTTGAGCACAAACAGCCCCGCTGCCCTCAAAGTGGGTAAGCAGCAGATCATCCCCAAAAGCTTGGCCTCGGAAATTAAACTAAGTAAATCCAACAGTCAGAACGTGGAACCGCACAAGAGGCTGCTCAAGGTGCGCAGCATGGTGGAGGGCCTCGGAGCGCCCCTGAGCCACGCGGGGGAGGAGAGCGAGGTGGACAACGACGTGGACAGCCCGGGCTCTCTGCGGAGGGGCCTGCGGTCCACCTCCTATCGCAGGGCCGTGGTCAGTGGCTTTGACTTTGACAGCCCTACCAACTCAAAGAAGAAGAACAGAATGTCCCAGCCTGTTTTGAAAGCAGTGATGGAAGACAGGGAGAAGTTTTCCAGCCTGGGAAGGATCAAGGTAAGAGCAGCAGAGCGTCTCTGTCATTCATCATGCCAAAAGTGAAGGTGTCTGTGGGAGGAAACCATAGTGGTCGTGCCTTTTCGGTTCTGATTCTGCTGTGGTAACCTGTGCACATCTTTGGCTTGCCTTTGTGCTGCTGGCAGGCACAGAATGCAGTTCCATGCAGTTTTGTGGGTAGAAGTGAAGCCCAGTCACTTTTTAAACTCTGGCAAAAATTGGGGGAAGGAAAAAAATTACTGCTAATTAAATATTGACCCAAAAGTTCTGAGCCCTTCTAATGCCAAAGGGGGTGGGGGTACTACTCTTGCCTGTGGCCCAGCTATGTGGTATTCCTTTTAGAGGTGATGGTCACAGCCCATAATGGGAAATGCTAATTCTCTTTTGAGATAGTTGATTATTTTTCTTCTTTTACTTGTTTTGTGGATAGTGACCATATACTTGACAGCAGTTAAAATGTGAATTTCAAAGTCTATCACTAAAACCATGAAAGACACAGTTTGTTACCTTTTTTGTTGCTCATTTTTGTTATTACTGTGTTTAATTGTGTTTAATTCCTATTTTAAGCTCATGAATCCTTGAATGCATTTAACACATGGGTAGCCCCAAACCTGAGATTTGGGTGTGTGGGATTGCTCCCTGATGTAGGCCTGGGAGTTGCAGTTAGTTACGGAGGGTCTACTGGGGTGTAAAGACATAGGGAAACTAGAGAAGGATATTTTGGAGTGTGTGCTGCCTTCCCAGAAACAAGACCCATCTCAGTAATAGGGTGGAGATTTCTCTTGACAGCCACATTTTTATATAGACTGGGCCCAGTCTATATAAATGTCACACATGTAATCATAAGCAAGCCTGTTTTGTTTTATAGTCCGTGGTCTTACGGAAAAGACATCACATAGCCTTCTCTGGGTTTTGTTGTCCAACTGTGCAAAGTATAGCAGGGTTCTGGTTAACAGTACAATGAATCACCAGTAGTGAAATGAGCTGAGCTGCCGGTCCTTGGAGGAGTCTCCCTCTGTTTTGACGGAGTGTGGGGAACATTATTTATTTCTTCTACTGTTTAAGTGAACTGTAGTTTTCATTTGAGTAAATTGCTCTAGGTGTCTTCTGCTGTGTGTTTTTGGAAATCTAATGATTGCCAACAAGAGAGTACTTTTACTTAAAATAGCTGTATTTTCTATTTGGCTTATTCATACATAGTTTGCTTTTTTTTTTTCTTTTCTTTTTTCTTAGAAGAAAATGCTGAAAGGACAAGGAACGTTTGATGGGGAAGGTAAGTAAGCATTTAATTTTCCAGACTTTATAGCTGTTTCAATGTGGAATCTCAATTATGAGTTGAAATCCAACTGCAGGAACAAAAACACTCGAGATGAGAAAGATGGCCATCTTCTTCCCAGACAGACATACAGGGTCGAGCTCTGCACCAAGCTTTAATTTTTATCTGGTAATAACAGTGGTGAACGAAATTAATGACATTTTTAATAAAGTGATGACTTTTTCAGTTAATGCCTTGCAATTTTTCTCTAATTTGATTCCAGTTCATCTCTCTGAAAAAACAGAAATTAAGATCAAGCTCTGGCTTTTTAGTTAGAAATTCTGAGGTTGGCATTGACATCTGAAGCCATATTTCCTTTGGTCACATTTCCTTTGGCTCAATATTCTTTCCCCCATATTTCCACATTTTATTTTCATTTCTGACTTCCTGTTTCCTTATTAAAGTTTTCATTTGGGAACATCTAACTCTCCTGGTTGTCAAAATGTATTATTAAGAATTTGTAACCCATATAGTTTTTTTTTTTTTTTTTTTAAGGATTTCAGAAACAAAAGCGGCTTGAGCCAGGTGTTCAAATCCTAATCAGATTAGGGTTCTTTCTGTAAATAGGTGGGTCCGGTGTCAGCCAACTGGCAGGGCTTGAGCAGATCAGATCCAGCACAGCCCTCATGGGGCTCAAGGGTCCTGGAGATAGTGAGACCACTTATCTTCTACCATGCCTTGAATGCTGAGTGTGCCCAGCATCTAAAACAGAGAGGAAGGCTCTGCCTGGAAGTTCGTGTATACCACCCAGAGTTGTAAGTGGATGAGCTTGGGTGATTACAGAACATTCTCCTTATGTAATTTTTTCTTTTGTATGTGTGTGTGTGTATGTGTGTGTGTGTATGTGTGTGTGTGTATATGTGTGTGTGAGATACTGGGGATTGAACCCAGGTGCACTCTAGCACTAAGCTACCTACATTTCCAGCCTTCTTTATTTTTTTTATTTTGAGACAGGTCCTCACTACGTTGCCCTGGCTGGCCTGGAACTTGCAATCCTCCTGCCTCAGCCTACCCAGTCACTGGAATTCCTGGCATGTGCCACTGTGCCCAGCAGCCTGTATATTTTCTTAGAAAGTTGGGTTTGACACTGTAACATTTAAAAAGGACTAATTTATAAAATCTTCTCATCGTACCAATCCTATTAGAGAACAATTGCTATGTGGAGAAGAAACCCAGGTATAGTGTATTAGCTAGTAAAAGTTCATTTCTCTGATTTCATAATTGAGGAAACTGGAGATGCAGAGCTTTATCAGCTTGTGCCCTGTGCCACAGCTCGTAGTAGCCAGTACTAGGTAGCAGGTTCTGCCTCTTGTACCACTGCGGATATGAGGTGAGCAGGGCACCTGTCCAACACCTACCCAGGGAGGGGCTTCACATCCTCTGAAATTTGTTATTGATGGTGTGATCTTTGCCTCAGCTCCACTTTTTGAGGTTTTTAAAATCAGAGGGCAGATCATCATTGAGCTGTTTCTTGCTACTTCTCATATGTGCACACAAAGAATGCAGGATTCTCAACAGTTAATTAGGAGGAGTCTGCAGATCAGGAGGTGGTGTGCTCCAGCGTGAGAACCTGTGACACTGGGTTTCTGTCCTCCTGCTTCTGCTCATCAGTTGAGTGACACTGAATGAGAACCTTATCCTCACTGAGCCCCAGTTTCATCCTGTGTGAATTGAGTGTAAGATTCCTGTTGTCATGTTGAGTGAGAAGGAATGGGACTCCCATCAACAAGGCTAGGCACAGACCCTCTGCTAGCCACTAAGTGCTTTCAAGCCTGGGGGGAAACCAGTTTTACATACCTGTTTCTCCTGTGCAGAAGAGTGAAACTAAAATCTTGCTTAGACCCCAGCTACTTAAGACAGTGCCTGGGGGCTGTCTGCAGTTGGTAGGAGAAGAGGCAGGTGTTTGCTTGACTTGGTAGAAAAGAAAGCCTTTCAAATTCCCTGGGCCCCAAGCCACACTCACAGTCATCCTCACTGAACTTGAATCTCTTCTGGTGTTCCCATCTCCTGCGTCCCAGTTGTGGGACCCGAAGACCTAGGAACGTCCTTGATGCTTCCCTCTTTGCCCCATGTCCAGGCTATCGCCCATCCATTCTTAGCCACACAGCCCAGGTCGCCATTAGCCATGACACCCCTAAAGCATCCTGGCTAGCCTCTGGGGTAGTCAGTGCTTTGCTCTGCAGTCTAAGCAGGCTTTCCTCCCAGCAGCTCCATTGTATTCCACACAGTGTGAAAGAAACTGGGTCCTTTTGTACTCTGGGTCAAACCCAGCTCTCTGACACTGCTGTAAAGCCCTGCGTGATTTGGACTGTTTGGCTGGTCTCTGTAAACCCTCCTTGCACAGTGTGACTCCTAAGCAACCCGCTGACCCATCTTATTGACCCCCCTTAGTGCTTTTGAGGTGTTGTTTCCTCTTGCTCCAGAGCCTGGCCTCCCTGCTCCTCAGGCATGCAGACCTACCAAGCAGATTTACCCCAGGGCCTTTGTCCTTGCTGTTCCTCTGGTGAGATGCTCTTTCCCAGCTTGCTTTCTCTCTCTTTTATGCCTTGGATTAAATGTCACCTGTGTGAGGCCTTCCTAAACCACCTTACATAAAATCTGCATATTGTTTTCCCAGCATTTCCTACCCCCTTTCATGTTTTATTTTTCTGCATGACAACTACTTCAGAAATCCTCTAGCAGTTACTTGCTTGTGCATTGCAGGGCTCTCTCACTTTAATGTCAGCTCCATGAAGATTGAGATTTTTGAAGAAATCTTTGTTCCTTGTTGTAGACCTGCCAGTTGCTGGTGCCCGTGGGCCTTGTCTAAATGCCAGTTGAGTGCGTAGACTCATGAGTGAACAGGACTGTTTTCTTATTAAATCAGCTCACCTGGGTGTCTTGTTTTCCATTTTATCATCAGACCCCAGTGCTGGGTAGATGACAGTGAGCAGGTGAATGAATGGTGGTGGACCTTGGAGGATGCACGGTTCACATATCAACCTGACCTGAGTAAAGTGACCTAAGAGACTGTTTTCCATGAGTCGTGGACAGGGATATGGAAACTGGCTTCAGTTGGAATGTCATGTATTTTTCTTCAGTGACAAATCGGCTTTTTTTTTTATCTGTTGTTGATTAGACCAGAGACCAAGTAGTGTGAAATTATGGAGGTTTGTTTAGAACAATAGTAGTGATTGGGGCAGCAGTGACACTTCGGGCTTTTTTTTTCTTGTAGAAAATGCGGTCCTGTATCAGAACTACAAAGAGAAGGCTCTGGACATTGATTCTGATGAAGAGTCGGAGCCCCGAGAACAGAAGTCGGAGGAGAGGCTTGTGATTCACCATAAGCCACTGAGGTCCACCTGGAGCCAGCTCTCTGCGGTAAGTGTCCATCTGCTGTCCCTTCTGAGAGGGGGAGACCACTGTGGAGATTTGCAGCGGCATGGCCTTTACTCTGCCTGTCCGTGATCCCAGAACTCTAAGGAGAAGGACCTTGCAGATTGGGAAATGTCTCTCGAAACTCCACAGGCGATAGTGAGAATGCGAACTTTGAACAGGAAAATTAGGTCTTGATAAGGCAAGGAGCCTCAGGACTAGGGTTCTGTGGACTCTGGAAGCTTCCTACACAGTATCTTTTCTTCCTTGTTTCTGTACAGTGTATATGTGGTGATAACTCAGTGCTTCCTGAGCTTTGTCATAATCATGGCTATCCTCATGTATATGTGCATCTGCATGTATGCTTGTCTATATTTGTGTACATGTGTGTTGCATAGCTGTATGTATGTATATGAATTACCTATGTAAAATAGGGTACTTATTACAATTCTTCCTTGGACATCTCATTTGAAATAGACACATCTATATTTTCTTAAGGTTAATTAATGAATGTTCCATCTTTGTTTTTCTCTGCCTTTGGTACTAGAGATTGAACCCAGGGGCACTCGGCTGCTGAGCCACATCCCCAGCCCTTTTTATGTTTTATTTAAAGACAGGGTCTTGCTGAGTTGCTTTGGGCTTTGCTAAGTTGCTGAGGCTGGCTTTGAACTCGTTATCCTCCTGCCTCAGCCTTCTGTGCTGCTGAAGTTACTGGTGTGCACCACCACACCTGGCTGAATGTTTCATCGTGTGTGTGTGTGTGTGTGTGTGTGTGTATCTGACACTTACTTTTGAGTTGATGAGGAATTTCTCCTTTTTGCATCAAACATCTTTTTGCCTTTTTGCCATAATTTATTTTCCTACTAACTTACAGAATGTGGCAGTGTGATGCTTCATTCATCTGATGGGTTTGGGCAAAGTATTTGTGGAGATCTAATGCATTTGCAAGTTGATAGTGCTTGGCTGGCTTGGGCCGTGGGAACATGGCATCAGAAACAAGCCTGCTCACCCCCAGAGTCCTCAGGCACTGTCCTGGCAGAGACAATGCTCTCCTGAGCTGCAGTGGTGGTTGCTCACCACCAGGAATCTCATGTACTTAGGGAACCTACCAGTATAGGAAGAGGACTCATGTCTTAAACCGTACAGCCAGGACCGTGACCATGTGTGAATACTAATGGTGAGGACAGCTTCTTGTTCCATCCGCTGTCCCTCTTCCAACTTATATTAGTATCGAAAATTGTATAAACCCAAGTCCTGTCTCCCTCCTACCTCCCAATTTTGTTCTAAGAAGAGTCTTGTTATTTCCAGTGCCCCCAAGGTAGCAGGCGTATGGATGAGTGGTGCTGTGGTGTGGGGTCCTGAGAGCCATGGGGCTGTGGTGGGTAGGCCTTGCATAAATCCAGCAGCTCCTGCCTAGCTCAGCCTAGGTCCATTCTGGGGAGCCATGTTGCTGGGTCTTCGGGCCCAGAAATCTGTACTTTGATGAGTATCTTTTTCCAAGTTTTAAAGAAATGTTGTGTAAACATAGCAAAATGTCTTGGCTCTTTGCTAAGAGTTTGCAGTTTCTGTGGTGATTTTATGATTTGTTTATGGTGAGGTGGTAACACCTATCCACAGAATTGGTGTATTAGGTAGCTCAAAGCGGACAGTTGGATGCACTGGTGGCAGGAGTTCATTCATGGGTCTGTGTGGCGCATCTTGTAGAGGACGTGGACAGGGCTGCTCTCTTGCCTTCTCTGGCAGCAGCTGAGTGTGTTAGCATCAGCCTTTGAGTGGCAGCTGCACTCTGGGCCGGCCTAGCTGCAGCACTGACAGCGAGGCTGGCACGGGTACGCCTCCTGGAGTCTGCTGTGCTTTAATGAGCATGTACCATGCAGCTGGACAGAGGAGCCTGTCCTGTGGGCACGCGTTATCACTTGGGAAAGGGCCAACCAGCTGATGTGCCTTATGAGGACAAGGTTGGTGTCAAGGAGCTCTCTCAAGGTAAAGTGTAAAATGACAAAGTGGACCGTCCCATAGGTACACGTGTACCTTGGATTCGAGTGTTCCCAATTGGATTCGAGTGTTTGTTGTGTTGTTTGGCACTGCATTTTATCAAAGCAGTGTGATTGGACTTTGTCACCTAACATTGCTGAAGTATCTACCTGCATTTCCTTTGTGTTTTTTACATCTTCTTTCACATAAATTTCACTTCAGTTTGTTATCAGGTATTTGACATATACAGAAAAGTAATAAATAGAGGTTAAAAAGTAATAAGTAGAGATCATCGATGGCTGTACCCACCCCCCAGGTTGAACACATCCTCACAGTTTAACCTGTTTTCTTTGGGCTCCGTCGGGGTTTTAGACAAACCAGCTTAGCAGCGTGTGCTCCTCTCTCCTTTCCTCCTCTTTGCCTTCCCAGAGGGAATCACCATACTGGAGTTCTCCTCTGTCCTTCCCATATGGTTTTTCTGTCCACCAAGAAGGTGCAACCAGCTCTCGGTGTTAGGATAGTAGATATTTTTAATGTCCAAATACAGCTGTCCATTAGTAAGTGTGCAGATTGCAGTTAAGGCCCTAAAGAGAGGCCGCTTGGCAAATGATTAACAACCCCAGCTGTGCCTTACACGCGATCAGTACCTCCACCTTCCTGCCTGAGCTGATTCCCTGATCCCTCCATGGAGAGGACCTGCAGCATTGAGAGCTGGCCTCAGAAGGCTTCTGCTGTCCATGTATTTCTGCACCACCCTTCTACCTTTCCATGCTTTACTTTTAATATATCAAATTGGTGGGCTTAGGGTTAATCTTTTTTTTTTGTACTGAGGATTGAACACAGGGGTACTTAATCACAGAGCCACATCCCCAGCCCTTTTAATATTTTATTTAGAGACAGGGTTTTTCTGAGTTGCTTAGTGCCTCACTAAGTTGCTGAGGCTGGCTTTGAACTCGAGATCCTCCTGCCTCAGCCTCCCGAGCCACAGGGATTATAGGAATGGGGTATTGTGCTCAGCTAGGGTTAATCTTTTATGTGTTACTTTAATACAGAACTCTTCTTTGAGTAAGGCCTTGGCCCCACAAAGAGAGTAGGACAAGAGGTTTCTGCACATCTTGACTTCCTGCTTGGTCGGGAGTGGGTGACAGCAAGTGTACATTAGCTACGGTTGATTATTTTCTAAAAAATCTCTTGTCTTTATTGCAAACACCTTCTTATCAGTTGACTGTAAGAAGCTTCACCCCTCCAGAGACTCTTGATATTATGGCCGTTACATAAGGTCCTGAAGCCTTCCTTTTGTCATGTAACTTAGCTGTTTGTTTACATGTCTCCTTTGGTTTCATTGGACAGTGCCAGGTAGGGCAGGGACCAGCCACACAGGTGACAGACGGTTCCCATTTCCAGTGTTGCAGCAGGTTTAACTGTCGTGGTCATCTAGGAGGAAGGGAGGAGTAGCTGTGTCAGAGAGGCATTTCATGGGGCCTCAGCAGAGTTCTGGAGTAGATAGGATCGCTATTCTGGAGTGGATAGGATCATGGGGTGAATAGGATCATGGGGTGAATAGGATCATGGGGACTCTGTCCTGCTGTGTCTCTGCCAGCAGGCCCTCCAGGTAGAGGTGGGATGTTCTCTTGTAGTCAGGAGAGAAGCCTGGGCTCCCAGATCTCACTGGATGGGGACAGGCTCTCTCTTTGCCACACGATTGCCAAAGCCTATAGATCTAATCTTGGAAGCCAGGATGTCCTTCCCTGCGGGGAACGCAGCTCTGTGTGCTGTGCTCTGGGCCTCGGGCAACACAGGGGTGTTTGAAATTCCTGGCATGGTCTTGGCTCCTGGTTGTGGCTGGGTGATTATGGAAGGGATTTGAGGTTTTGAACTTGAGAAGTCATTTTTTTTTTTTTTTACCTCGGAAGATGATTATCTGGCATTGTGCCTGGACCCAAGTAACCTGCCGCACAGGTGAATCGCCCAGTGACTCACCTAAATCAGCACATGGGGACTAAGCCAGCAGTTCTTGGACCTCTGGGAGAAGCTTGTGGGTTTAAAGAAAAGTCTCGATTGTGTTTGCCAGGGCTGGAACATTGGGCGCTGTCCCAGTGCTGCCAGGTGTTCAGCCAGCGGGGACCTGGGTGACGAGTGAGCTTCAGGTTCTCAGAGCCCATCCTCTGAAGGGACCCGGAAGTGTGGGGATCATCCTCTTCACGTGGGAAGATTTTGCCTGGAGAGGTTTCTTTTTGGTTTCCTTGTCCCATCCCTCCCCCCCCCCCACCGAGAAATGCTGTCCTGAAGCCCGTGTTTGCTGGTTCTCAGTGGCAGTGCCAGGTACAGGCTCACTCAGTTGTGCCCTAACCATGGTTATTTGCCATGGGGCGTGTTTGTGTACTTTCTGTCACCTTGAAATGCCAGGTACCTTTGGAGAGGGTGTCCAGGCTCCAGAGGCCCAGGCAGAGACACGGGCACACTTTCCACACCTAATATAGTCATCCCCTCCCGTCCTGGGGCACTTGCTGACGTGCGGCTTCGTGGGCGATCTTAAATCATCTCGAAGGGTTCTTCTGCTGGCTGTAGATTTTGGATTCCTCCGTCGGGGTGGGGATGTATATTTTCATCAGCGCCCAGGAGCCGAACCTAGGGTGGCTGACGGTGTCATGTGAGATCTGGAACAAGCCCCCTGGTCTCTTGCATCCTGCACTCAGCTCTTAAGGCACAGAGTTTACCTTTGGGAAAATTTCTGGAACTTGCAGAACGAGAAAGGAAGATTTTGAAACATGGGAATATTATAATTATAATTCCACTCAGCTCAAAATAAATCATACACTTTGGAGTCTTGCAGTTCAATCTGATGGCACTTATTTTAGAAATTATACTCTGTAAAAGGCAGTTTTTGCTAAAAATCAGAGCTTGACAAATGTAACCAACCTGAATATCATTCCCTTTACAGAAATGCTGAATGCACTTAGAGGTCATAGAAAACTTTCATTTTTTTTTTCCCTAAATTTTCACTCTTGTCAGAATATTTACTTGTTCATTGT